GTGCTAGTCAAGGTTCCTGTTCAAGGTGATTCAAGGAGCTTATGCCAGAACGTGAATCAATGAACTGCCTCCTCCGGAAGACAGTCTTGCTATGAAGAAAGATGTCAGCTAAACTACCCAATGTACTTAGTGAAGCAGTTGACTTCCATTCTGGCCCAAGTCTGGTACCCTTCTTGGTTCACGCTCTGAGGATCCCTGCTCTTGGAATCTGTTACCTCTGCCACTTGGGGGAGCCTCTTCTCTTTGTGTCTGACTGTATTTTAAATCTTTATAAGCAATCTAGCATAATGTCAGCACAAAAAAGAGAGTTTGCTAAATTGATGGCATACACTTTTTGTCCCATTAAATGCAATAATAACCCAGGATAGACCACATTGCTTCCAGTCTTATGCTTGAAGATGAGCACCTTCCATAGCTAGGAGCTGTTCTTTTTTCGTCACCATGATCAGTGGAGGTGGTAGTGGCAGTCTGTTCTCCCTGTCTCTTTGCAGGGGTTCTTAATCTTATTTTTTGGGTTATGGGCCCCTTTGGCCAACTGTTATATCTATGGACCATTTCTTCAAATGATGTTTTTAATCATATAAGATACAATCTGTAAGGTTACAAAGGAAACCAATTATATTGAAATATACTTATTGCAAGGTTAAAGCCAGTGGTGCGAGGGCAGGCTAAATAGCCACCTCAGACAGTGATTAAAGAAAAACTGAATTTATTTAAGGAAAAGGGGAAGGTGATGGGGATATCCAAAGGGAAGGGCCGCACAGCACTGAGCCAAAGGGTATTGGGTCCATGATGGCAGCAAAAATATACTTAAGGCAATGAAACAAGGAAGGGCCTAGAAGAAGCAGCAGGAAAGCCTAGGCTGGGCTGCTCTGGCTCACTGGGAAGTCAGGAAAAGGGGGCTTTGGGGACCGGTTCAGGGGGTTAGCTGCCACTGCCCATTGCTCCCCTGGTTGCAAGTCTCATGGGGTCCATTAGAGGTTGGGGGATATGTGACTATGGGGGAATTGTAGGGGGGTGCTCCTTGGAGGGGTAGCATGCGCTGGGTCCTTTGTTCTGAGTGAATTTATCTATTTCTTGCAGGTGGAAATCTTAGGGGAGGTATCATGGGAGGGTCTTAATAGAATATTCATCAGCTTTCCAGGTGTGCTCTTTCAGGGTCGTGGTCTCCACTGATTGGTCAGTGCCAGGGCTTGTCCGACCAATGTAGCTGGTCCTGAGGCAGCCACAGTGTCACTTGTCTGGTTTTGCTGCTTTTCTTGGCTTGGAGCTGAAATACAACTGAGGCCTAGATGTTATCTTTAGGGAGGAAAAGGTAGGGGGCGGTGCACAATCAGCAGATATGCTAGGGGAGAAAAGGTTACCCTGGAGGTGAGGTTCTTGTTTTTCTAGTTTTGTCACCTGCCAGGCATCTGGTGAGCTTCTGTACCTGGCCCATCGTCTCTGCTCTGTGGTCTAACACTTCAAAATGTTAAAAACAATTTGTAATAGTTATATATGTGTTTCATTATTAACATATAACAAAATCTAGCATCTAGTCTAAGAACTACCATTGTTTTGAAGAAGTGATAAGCACAAATAACATTTTGACCTATCTATAACAACTCTGATGGGTTATGAAACCATCTGTGCTTTCATAGGTAACCAAGTCACAAGTATTGCTACCATGGTTGAGGTTTGTTGGTTGCATTATAATAGAAGGAAATGCTAGAATTTCAGTTAGAAATTAGTGAAAATAAGTATATATATTCTTTATTGATCCAAGCTGAAGGCCCCCTGCATTCACTCTCTGGTTAAGAACCCCTGCTTGGGAATACCAAGCTGGGAAAAGGGGGACTTCTGAAACTTTTTATTACTTTTCCTAGGACAGATATTTTGGGCTTGTAATAAATCCAATTACAGTTTTAGTCCCTGCTGAGGTTCTATTATAATTTTCTTTTGTTTTATTTGGAATACAAAGGAGCAAGTTTTCCCTCTAATCTATTTGTGGAGACCAACATTCTACAAGGACTTAAACAAAGACATCTCAGGGAGAGTATTTGTATAAACTATTCATTTCTCCCAAAGCAGTTAAATGGATGCCTCTTCAGGAACAGTTCTTGCTTTCAAAGGTGATCACAAGGTCATCCATATTCCCAGGGGGAGGAAAATTTGTTACATGAAGATGCTAGAGGGCTTAGGGCCCTTTGGGGGGAATTTTCTTGAGGAAGCTATAAACAGAGAGAAAGGGATCTTGGAATTCTAGAGTGATGGAGAGGCTTCTTGGAGCAGAGAAGTAGATCAGAGTTCAAATGGGAAGGCTCAGTTAGGTAAGAGATGGAAAGTGTGTTCAAGAAGTGGAGAGTCAGCTAGCTTTGGCCCAAGTGAAAGAATGAGGGACTATGAGCCTAGACAGGTAGATTGAAGATGGTTGTGATGGATCTTCACTGATATGCCAGGAATGTGGAACATTATTGACAGAGGGAGTCAGTGAAATCTTTTAGTAAGAATGAGATAAAGAAATTTCTGATGTAGGAATATCAACATGACCACATGTTTTTAGTTGAATTGGGTGTGGGAAGTAAATATGGACAATAGTTTGATAATCAGGTGGCAAGACAGATGGATAAAATTATCTCTGCTTTCCCTATCGTAACATCTTCCATATGCCTAAGAATAGGATTCACTAGGAGAGCTTATTAATTACACAGGTTTCCAAGATTCTGCTCTGCAAATTATATCCCCAGTAGGTCTGGAATTTGTCATTTTTAAAACTGCTCCATGTGATTTTATCTTCAGACAAGTTGGAAAATACTCCACAGGAATGTTGGTCTGATCAGATGAGAAACTGAATGTGAGAATGTCAAAGCAAAAATTGCACTGGACAAAGTTAAACAGACTGTGATGACTTTATTCAAGGCTATTGTATTGGGGAGAGAAACCAGAACTCAGTCTGAACTCAACTCCACGTAAACCAAAGGGAAAAGGAAAAAACTAGCGTATTTTAGGAAAGAGATAGGTCAGTGGGATGTATAGAGCACATTGACTTATTCCCAAGTTTGCAAATGTTTATCTCTGTGATTTGGCCGCCTGTGTTTGCTAATCGGTGCCCACCAATTAGCCAGTTAGGCTTCTACCTTCCCCCAGAGACTGGCAAATAGGGACACTATCTTTCCAGCTGGTTACATTTCTAAGGGATGGCTCCTAATCCTTGAGAAAGGCCTTGCTGGGTTGTAAAAGTGACAGAATCTGGGAGATGACTTACATCTCGATGGGGAAGAAAAAGAATTTATAATTACAAGTTTTGGGAAGTAAGTGCTCCAAGAAGAGGGAGGTCAGGGACACAGTCTGGAAGAAGCCTGTCTGAATTTCAGTCAAGCTGACAGGAACATTCAGGCTGTTCTGGCCAAGGGCAAGGTACTATTAGTAGTACTACTGTCTTCAGGGTGGGTAACACCTGACAGGGAGTGGACAGGAAAAATCAATATTAGGAATATTGGGAGGGAAAACTCAACTTCCTAACCTAACGTTGAGAATTAATTGGATGGGGGATACAGAAAAGTGAGCAGTCAATGTCTAGTGACTCTAGACACAGGGAGAATGAAGGTACATTGACAGAAATGGAATTTCCAGTTGGCAGGCAAGTGGTGGTGCCAAAGGACCCAGGCCATCTTGGCAAAGCATAATTCTTAGTTTCCTTTGGTAGAAACGGGACACTATAGTCAGTGCCAGCAGTTGACAGAGAGAGAGAGGGAAAGCAGCAGGGCTGTGGAAGCCTCCTCTCGAGGGTGGGTGGTCCTTTCTGACAGAACCTGCAGAGAGCCTGGATGGTGCATTTGTGATTAGCATCCTATGTTAGCTTCACCTAAGTCACACACACATGCGTGCGCGCGCGCACGCCGCGCGCACACACCACATCACGGAGCACCCTTGGATACATACTGAAGTATTTCAAAGTAAATTATAAGCATCTTAGCAGCTAAGATTTATGGGAAAATGATTACTTCCATTTAGCACAAGTTGTATTAGAAGATTTTCAGGAGGTCAGCCTGGGGAAAGGTCTCTGAAGAAGAGACAACTGAAACCGTGGGAGTGGATAAGATTTTCACAAACTTACTGGGGATATATAACATTGATGTGTCTTACCTTTTTTAAAGGGAATATAAAGGGGCAAAATAGAGATCTAAGAATTCCGTTTTGTTAAGCAGTAGATGGTGGTCCTAGTTTTGTCTGGTCCAGTGAGGTCTGCGATGCTAAGAACTGTAAGAGGTGCCATTGATTTGCTCATGGGACACTGGCAAAGGAGAGCATCAGTAAAGTGGACAGGGGAGTCAAATGCAGGATTTGAGAGTGAGTGGTGAGACAAAGGAAGATAAATCCCACATGATTTCACTTATATGTGGAACCTAAAAATCAAAATAAATGCACAAACAAAACAAACAAGAACAAAAGAGTGAGTGGTAAAAAAGAAACCAGGTGTGCAGATGGAGGTCTGGCTTTGAAAGAAAGATGTAGGAAGAGAGCAGGAAAGTCACAGTGTTATAGTAATAAGTTTGAATTTATAGTGATAGGAAATAAAATTGTATTAGTGTGTGGTTTGGTATTATAAAGTTCATTCTAAAACTCCATCTTATATTGGAGGCATAACTTCATTTTGTATTAGAAGTGAAACTTAACCTGTGTGTGTGTGTGTGTGTGCATCCCAGATAAGTACTTTGCAAACCCCTGCGTGTGTACCCCGATAAGCCCAGAAGGCACCCCCGGAGCACACTGATAAGAGACACTGAAGAAGCCCATCCATCGGGTATAAAAGAAGGACTCTCACACCAGCAGTCAGACACCTGTCTGCCCTCCACAGACGAGACGTTCTCCTTACCCCTGGAACTTCTGCCACTCCTGCTCTGCCCTGAGCCCAGATTGTTAGAGGCCTCTCTTTGTGTCAAGAGACCGAGCACCTGCAGCTGCGTATCTGACGACCGTGTGTCTCTGTCAGCGAGTGTCTCCGGGTGGCCTGCCAAGGACTGAAACCCATCAGCTCTCTGGTAAATAAACCTGTGTGATTCTTGTACTCTGTTTGTCTCCTGTGTCTCCTCTCTTCTTAGTTTTGGTTTAAGCTCGGCCTAAATAATAAAGTACCCTTTGACGTCTGTATTGGTATATCCAAATGAGGCAAACTAGGTCACCTGTGCATACATTCCCATAGAAGTGGAACACACAGGATTAAGTTACTGGGGATGCATGAAATTAATGTGTTTTACTTTTTTCTACTTACCTTTTTTAGTGATCAGAAATGAGTGAACAGCCAGAAAAAACTACTTCCACTGAAGAGGGACACACAGGTCAAAGTTCTCCTGAGAAAAATTGTCAAATCGGACAAAAGCAACTGGTATGGTGTATGGATATTACGATTCCATGGAATTTGGGGAGTTTCCAGCATGGGGGTTCCTGAGAGGCCCCAGATTTGCAGGGAAAGGTGGGCTAACTCAGGACTCCTCACAGAGGATTTCTGCCCCCTCCCCATAATGATGGGGCTTTTCTTCCTCTTAACTCTACTCATCGCTAAGCTGGTCGCACCTCATGTATCTCCGCTGTGCCTCTCAGTTTCAGAATTTTTATTAATTCTTGTATTGAGTTTATTAGAATGACATGGATTAATAAAATTACTAGTATATAGGCCTCAGGTGTACAGCTATATAATACATCATCTTCATATTGTATTATGTGTTCACCACCCCAAGTAAAATCTCTTCCATCAACATTTATCCCCCCTTTTAATCACTGTATTATTGTCTGTGTCTATGAGGTTTTTTTTTTCTTAATCCCTTCACCTTTTTCACCCAGTTCTCAACCCCCCTTCCCTCTTACAGCTGTCAGCCTGATCTATGTATCTATGAGTATGTTTCTATTTTGTTAGTTAGTTTATTTTATTCATTAGATTCCACATATGAGCAAAATCATATGGTACTTGTCTTTCTCTGACTGGCTTATTTCACTTAGCAAAATACTCTGCAGGTCCATCCATGCTGTCACAAAAGGTAAGATTTTCTTACTTTTTAAGACTAAGTAGTATTACATTGTGTAAATTACCACAGCTTTCTTATTCACTTATCTACTGGTGGCACTTGGGCTTTGTACAAATCTTGGCTATTTTAAATAACGCTGCAATAAACATAGGGGAGCGCATATATTTTTCAATGTTCAAGTTGTGTTTCAAGTTTCTTTGGATATATACCCAGAAGTGGAATCATTGGGTCATAGGCAGTTCCATTTTTAATTTTTTGAGGTAACTCCATACTGTTTTTCACAGTGGCTACACCAATCTGCATTCCCATCAACAGTCCATCAGGGTTTCCTTTTCTGCACAACCTTGCTAACACTTGTTTGTTGATTTATTGATGATAGCCATTCTGAGGTGTGAGGTGATGTTTTATTGTGGTTTTATTTGCATTTCTCTGTTGATTACTGATGTTGAGCATCTTTTCATATATCTATTGGCCATCTGTATGTCCTAAATGGAGAAGTTTTAATTCAGGTCCTTTGCCCATTTTTTAATTGGATTGTTTGGGTTTTTTGGTGTTGAGTTGTATAAAGTTCTTTACAAATTTTAGATATTAACCTCTTATCAAATATATCATTGGCGAATATGTTCTCCCATTCAGTAAGTTGTCTTCATTTATTTATTTATTTATTTATTTATTTATTTTTATTGCTTAAAGCATTACAAAGGGTATTACATATGTGTCCTTTTTTCCCCCTGCCCTTGACAATACCCCGGCTTCCCCTACCCCCCCGTGTCTTATGTCCATTGGTTATGCTCATATACATGCATACAAGTCCTTCGGTTGATCTCTTACCCCCCTCCCTCCTGCCCCCCAACCCTCCCCGGCCTTCCCGCTGCAGTTTGACAATCTGTGTGAGGCAGCTCTGCCTCTGTATCTATTATTGTTCAAAAGTTTATAATGGTCTCTATTATCCATGAATGAGTGAGATCATGTGGTATTTTTCCTTCATTGACTGGCTTATTTCACTTAGCATAATGCTCTCCAGCTCTATCCATGCCGTTGCAAATTGTAAGAGTTCCTTCTTTTTTACAGCAGCATAGTATTCCATCGTGTAGATGTACCACAGTTTTCTAATCCATTCATCTACTGATGGGCACTTAGGCTGTTTCCAGATCTTAGCTATGGTGAATTGTGCTGCTATGAACATATGGGTGCATATATCCTTTCTGATTGGTGTTTCTGGTTTCTTGGGATATATTCCAAGAAGTTGTCTTCATTTTGTTGATGATTTCCTCTGTTGTGTAAAAACGTTTTAGTTTGATGTAATCCCATTTTTTAATTTTTTATTTTGTTTCCTTTGCCCAAGGAGATATATCAGAAAAAATATTGCTACAAGAAATGTCTGAGATTTTTACTGCCTATGTTTTCTTCTTTATGATTTCAAGGTCTGCCATTTAAATCTTTAATTTATTTTGAGTTTGTTCTTCTCTATGGTGTAAGAAGATGGTCTAGTTTCATTTTTTTCCCATTTATCTGTCCAGTTTTTGTAACACCATTTATTGAATAGTCTATCTTTATCCCATTGTATGTCCTTGCCTTGTTTGTCAAATATTAATTGACTATAAAGGCATGGGTTTATTTCTGGGCTCTCTATTCTGTTCCATTGATTTATGTGTCTGCTTTTATGCCAATACCATGCTGTTTTGATCACTATGGCCTTATAGTGTTGTTCTATATCAGGTCGCGTGATACCTCCTAGACATGGGTCTTTTTCCTTCTTCAGGTTGTGGAAGTTTTCAGTCATTATTTCTTCAGATTGTTTCTCAATCCCTTGCTCTTTCTCTCTTTCTTCTGGTACTCCTGAGATATGGATGTTGTTATGCTTCATGTCATCCCAAAGGTTCCTTAAACTGTTTTCATTAAATTTGTTTTTCTTTGTGCTGCTCTGATTGGGTGTTTTCTACTATCATTTCCAAATCGCTTGTTCCATCTTCTGCTTCATTTAACCAGATATTGTATTCTTCATTTCTGACTGGTTATTTTTTTATGGTTTCTGTGACATTTTTTAATCTTCCATTTCTTTGTTGAATTTTTCACTGTGTTCCTTGAGCATCCTTATAATTGTTTTTATGAACTCTACTAGTGGCCTGGTGCACGAATTTGTGCACATTGAAAGGGAATTAATTAGAAGAAATATTTTAATATCACTATTTGCCAAGTCCTGGGTGCAGGTATTCGGCTCCCTCCTCCCTCCTGTCAGAGTCTGGGCCGGCACCCGCAGGGATGCAGTGTCAAGTCCTGCCGGCACTGCGAGACCCAGAGTCAAGTCCCCACCCACCCGCACGCGCCTCAAAATCGCACGAGACCCAGACCTGCCGGTGCCCGCAGGGATGCAGCGTCAAGTCCCTGCCCACCCGTGCGCACCTCGCCACACACGAAGCCCCACCCACCCGTGAGTGCCTGCCATGCACACAGCCTCCTGGTGATCGTTTGTTATGGCATGAGGGCATCACGACTACAGGCTTTTTATAATATAGGATATCTGGTAAATTGCTTACCTATGCTTCATTTAGCTTTTTTTCCTGGAGATTTCTCCTGTCCTTTCATTTGGGGCATCTTTCTTTGTCTCCCCATTTTGATTACCTTTTGTCTGCATTTTGTTTGTTTATATATTAGATCCGCTATGACTTCCAGTCTTGGAAGGGTAACATTATATAGTAAGTGTCCCGTGGGACCCAGTGATGCAGTCCCCTTGACCACCTGAAGTTGGTGATCCTGGCAATGTCCCTTATGTGTATTAAGTGGACCTTCCTGTTGTACTTAAGTATTGCTTTCTATTAGCCTGTTCATCTGTGGGGTCAACCCTCAGACTGGCTGGCTTTCAGTGTACAAGTTGCTGTACCTCAGAATAGAATTTGCCTCAGCAGGGTCTGGTACCTGTTGAGTTCTCCCTTTGGATATGCTGCCTGTGAAGCTATTTGGTTTTGCTCTGATGTTGTCTAAAGCTGGCCACTGGCTATGTTGGTTCTGTGCCTCTTGGGAGAGACTCTAGTGCAGGTCCATGTCAGATGCTGCCTGTGACTGGCCCTGGGCAATCTCTTTGAAGCTACAAAGCAATCCATAGTTTTTGGCTGCCTCTGCTGAGCCTGAGTGTGTGCAGGAAGGACCAAGCTGTGCACCAAGGCCATCTCTTACCAGCATCTTTTGAAATTCAGCAAAAGTTCCAAGGCACCCCAAGATCCACCTCCACCTGCCTCCATCTGCTGGCTGCCTGTTAGGCTTAGTCACTGAAGAGCCTCTAGTGGTACTTGAGTTGCATGAGGTAGGTTCACAGTGAGTCACCAGGTAGAGATGAGTGGTGTTCACCAGATCAATACAGTTTCAAACTTGGAGCCAATGCTGGGTCTGAGGCCATTCAACAAATGTCCCAGGGTATACCAAATCTAGCTGCCACCTGCTGAATTTTTGCACACCTTATGGTGGGGGCAGGGTCTCAGGGAGTTATCAGGCCCAATGAGACCAAAATTTGGTTGTGTAAAGGGAAGGCTCTGCTCGATTTTTACAGACAGATGCTACGTGGGCACCTCTTCCCATCTCTGGTTCTCAGGACTGGGGACCCAGCTTGGGGTTTATGCCCCACGTTTCTCAGGAGGAACCTTTGCAGCTGAGATAACCCTCCAGAATCTCAGCTGCCACTTGTGGGAGTAGGGCTAGCCCTTTTCTCGCCTCCACCCTTCCTACCAGTCCCAATGTGGCTTCTTCTATAAATCTTTGGTTATAAGACTTTTCTTCAGTGAATCTTCACTTGGCTATTCAGGTTGATTGTTCTCTATTTTAATTGTAACTCCAGTTTTGTTCTGGGAAGAGGTGAGTGTAATGTCCCCCTACTCTGCCACCATCTTGGATCCCTCCTATTTATTAATTATTGTATTATTTTTCATATGAATAACTAAACCTACTTTTACCCCTATACCCTTGTATAGTAGCCTTGTATAGTAGCCTATATGTTTTTGGGCCACTCAGGTTATCCTTATAAAATCCTTTAAAAGAGCATTCCCTTCCCTCATTACATATATGACACATGTTCAAAATAAGACATCGGGATTGCTTGAAGCATCTGTTACTTGTGTTCCTGATTAAGCCCCATTAATTTGGAATTATAAATAACCCCAGAGACTTTTGAAAATTTACACTAACACTCTAGACAGCATTTTAGCAAGATTTTCTTTTTCAAATCTGGCTTTGACTGAGAGTGTAAACTTCATTTGGCTGTGGTCTGCATCGGAGCCCTGGGAGAGCCCACACTCCCAGGGCATCAGTCCTCCTGAAATGTCCCAGAGCACGGACGGGAGGACTGCGTGTACTTGGGCTCTCTGTGATGTGACACAGTTTACCTGGGCTTCTTCAGCTGACAACTGTGGAAAGGCCTTTGCTCCTTTGTCCTTCTCTACCACAAAATGCTAATTCTCACTTTCATCCCCATCATGTTTGAGGAGCCAGCTGGTGTTTTGCTGGTATAAAAAGAATTATGTTCCCATTTGTTTGTTTGTTTTTACATATGTTTTATACTATGGATTTCTTTGTTCAGAAAGAATGACTTAACTTGAGAAAATTTACATCATCTTCTGGAACTTAATCAGATTAAACTGGTTATTTCTCTAGGTAATAGTGCCTGTCCTCCATGCCATTATGGTAAACATTACAGAAAAATTATTTTGACACAAGGTAAAATAGATAAAGCTATCCAGTTCTTACTGCTAATACGTTTTATTTGTTTCATAGCAACAGATAGAGCGGCAGTTAAGATGCTTGGCATTTCAAAACCCTGGACCCCAGGTAGCAGACTTTAATCCTGAAACACGACAGCAGAAAAAGAAAGCCCGGATGTCAAAGATGAATGAGTATTTTTCTGTGAATTACAAGTAAGATCATGATTTATTTTATTTTATCTCTGGGATAATAAAATGCACGAGTTCTACTTGACAAAGCAAAGTAATTAAAGGTTGTCTCTTGTTTATGATTTAAATATATGTTTTCTAAAGTACAGTGTCACCCGATGTATCTGGAAGTTAGTAACTTTAAGAAATAAACGATAATCTCAAACTAGAATTCAATTTCAAAAAAAAGCTTCAGAGAAATTTAGTAGGAAAAATGATTAAAAGTAAGATACATCATTTGAAGGAGAAATAATATAACCATGGGAGTGGATTCAGATATCAAATGAGCACGAAGTGTCATAAGTACAATGATTGCTAGTGCATCAGAAGTATAAACTAAGTAAGCCACAAAGAAAAAGCTTGATAAATTCTACTACTTTGAAATTAAGGATTTATAACCAATAAAAGACACCCTAAAATAATGATACACAAATCACAAGGTAGGAAAAGTTACTTATAATTTAAAAGATTAGTGTCCAAAATCTATAGAGAATTCTACAAGTTAATTTTTTTTTAAAAGGTAAATTTCCTCTGAGAAAAAAAAATGAACCAAACAATGAACAGACATTTCATAGAAGAAAAGGCTAATAAACACTCAGGATACTGAGCCCCATCACTAATGTATGGAGAAGTGCCCCACTCCCCAGACAGCAAAGAGTTCAGTCTGATAATATCAGTGTTGATGAAACTATAGAACACATATTGGCTGAATTTCCCAGAACATTACTGCCATATAATATTTTGAAGTGTTGCTGGGTAATCTCTAGGGTACTGTTTCCTCTGAGTAAAGGGATCACATTAATGAAGTTGTTGCATAATAATTTATCTCAGTGTTGAGGAACATTGCACTGTTGTGTTAGTGTCATTCCTTTTCTTTGCAGGATTATGAAGAAGTATGACAAAAGTGGCCGGCTAATCTGTAACGATGCTGATCTGTGCGACTGCCTGGAGAAGAACTGCCTGGGCTGCTTCTACCCCTGCCCCAAGTGTAACTCCAACAAGTGTGGGCCCGAGTGCCGCTGCAGCCGGAAGTGGGTTTACGATGCCATTGTCACCGAGTCTGGAGAGGTCATCAGCACCCTGCCATTCAGTGTTCCTGACTAGGAGCCATACATGTGAATTGATTTGTATCTTCTTCTTTACATTTAAGCCAACCCATTTATCTTGGTGAATTGTAGGGCATGGGGTGGGGGAAATGCTGGAAAAAGCATACTTAAGAGTCGTGTTCTCCAAAGCTGTAACACAGTGTAGAATGGACAGTCATTCTATAACCTTCTTACTGTGTCTTCTCAAATTCTTTCACTTGGGAAGACTGTGATAGTGGATGGATCTCTGTTTCTCTCATCAATACTTCCATCTCTACTCTGTCCTCAAATTTAAAATCTCTGTCTTTTTTGCTGGTACATCTGAGAAACTGTAATTTTAAGATTTTCAGATTTCTTTGGCTTAAAGTCTTTTTTAACATAGAATCATACATTTATAATACCTAGTGATCCTTAGAATTGTACACATCACTAGTTCTAAATCAGAATTGCTATTTGGACTTTAAAAAAAGGACCCAAACCTTATGACTTTGCATTGCATATTCATAGTCTCATTTATTATTGCTATTTTAATAATATTAAATTTGGTGATGTTTTTATTAAAAATTTATATTTTACTTGTAAAGTTGAGAAATGAGGACTTGCATATCCTAAAAGCCAGTGGTTTACATTGTTTTCATTCAGGCTCAGTATCTCAAAATTTGTTTTCAAAAGAAGAAAACTTAAGTTATTATACAAATGTGAGTTTGTTGTATGTTTGCTAATTAAGTGTATGGCTATGCAGTTGAATAGATGTATGCTGTGTGTTTTTTCAGATCTGATGCATTGTGGGAGGTTTATAGAAAGTTGAGCTGTCTTTTTTGAATTTGGTTTTATAGTCCCATTTACCTTTAGTTGGTAGACTTGTATCATAGATTTTTATTATCCTACATCCAAGTTTCTAATTCATTAGATTGAATTTGCATTTCCAAGGTGATATTGGTGCTGCTGGTGTGGGGCCAGCCTTTGAGAACCATTTCTTTAAGTTACATTAGATACATAATGTATGGAAAGGGTTAAGTAGATAATTGAATAAATGCTTTAAAACATTATTAAGCGTATTTAATTTGAAAGTAAACTTTTCAACGTTTTATTTTTCCTCTATAATCATTTTCAAAAGCATTTATTTCTTCACAGTCCACATGTCCCAGGGAAGGCTCCTGATAATTCTAGGCTTGTTATTTCACAGTATATTTTGAGACTAACATAACAAAAATTTTAGAAGACCTATTTTGACTACAGTACCCCTGTGTGTGTAGCAGGAGAACTTACTCTGTTTCCCACAGAATTTACTGAGTTTTCCAGATTCAACTCACTTTTACTGAGACAAACACTGTGCTAAGTGCTTCCAGTTCATTACCTGTGATCATCACGGCAACTGAGGAAGATAGGAACTCAGATCACCGGAGTCAGACCCTTTGAAATGCCTACCAGGAGCGTGCAGCCCTGAAACTAGTCAAAAGGAGTGGGGGGCTTTCTTGGTTTATGTTTTGTTTTGAGAATAATTGTTATTTTATAAATAGCTAACCAAATGCATTATTTTATTACTCATTTATTTCACAATCACATAATTTTTTACATTGAAAGTAATCTTACAGGTTGCCTAAATAATAAACTAATCAGCAACTATGAACCAAGAGGCTTCTCTGTGCCAGGCCCCAGGCTAGGCACAGGGGATGGAGCAGTGAGTGAAACCCAGCTGCTTCCTGTCTTCACAGGGTTTATAGACTACAACCAATCTTTTTTGTTTGCTTTGTTTCTACAACAGAGGAAATTTACACCCAATGAGATAAAATGACTCTGTTAAGGACACATGGGAGAGCTGGCTACCTTGGTGTTTAGAACCCTAAGACTAGGTGAGTGTTCTCTCCAGGACACCAAGCATTTCCCACATTGGCCTGATTGTAAAACGTATCCAAGTGCTTTTCATAATACACATTCCTGAGCCCCATCCCAAACCTCAGGAATCACCACCTCTAGGGATGAGACCTGGGAATTCATATTTTTAAACAAGCTCCCCAGGTAAGTCTCAGAGCAGGTAAGTTTGAGAAACACTGCCTTATCACTAGTTGTCCAATTCTCTTATTAAAAAAGAATCTTAGGCAAAATAACACCCAAGTACCTTTCCCTTTTGTCTCCTCTTGTCATTCAGTCTTAATCATTAGATGAGATAATCTGCTTTAAAAAGAGTCTTGGTGAATTATGCTGGTAAGTTTCCAAGGTAACGCAATAAATAAATAAGGTAAAATGAATGGCAGTTATTAAGCAGACACCTCATACACCACGGAGACCTGGTAAGACATTTGATGGAGAACTTTTTTAGAAATCAGGTTATTTCATCCTGACTAATGTCAAGTCTATGCATTTTTTAAAAGCCTCCTGCACTAAATGATCATTGCAAAAATAAATTTATGTGAATTGTCAGAAACCTATTTTGCAAGTGTCAATTTTATCACAGAGTAAAACTCTTTAGTTATTTGAACTAAATTCAGATTAACAGAGAATATAGCCGCACTATCTGATTACATTAACTAAGGAAATTGTCTTGTCATTGTATTAGGATTTTTCTCTTCCTGCTTGGCTATCTTTAAATGCTGACAGGGTATCTAAATGAATATGTATAGAAATGGTAAGGAAAGCTATTTCACAGGAGATCATTTAAATTTAAGCTGTTACAAACTGAAGAATTTAGACAAGTCATCCTGTACCAATTTATACAAATTGGAATGCCATATCACATCAGTTTGCAGAATGACTTTATCTGAATCTAATTTGTAAGAATTAAAGAATATCCATAGTGTCCTTTTGTACCCAACTTTTGTACCCAACCTCCCCCCCTTCCCCCACCCACACAGTATCCTAGATCCATTTCAGCTATAAACATGGGGATGCTAACTAATGGAAAAATCATTTGATCTCTCCTTTATATATTTATTTGCTTTTCTGGAAAGTGAACAAGGTCATCTTGGATATTTGGTGGATATCAGGATTATGGTTCTGTAATGCCTGGGAAACGTGAGCATTGACATGAGCAGGCCGCAGTGTTTGGCTATGAAGGCTGTTAGTGGCTTACATGCAGGGGTTGCCTTCCACGTCATAGACGACAGGCAACACTGCCAAGAATGCCCCCTAGGGCTGTACAGCCAAGGGCCCCGTGAGCAGGTACCATTCGATGTGTGGATTTCTTGATTGTCTAGTCTTTATTGACTTTTAGTATGTTCTAAGCATTGAGTGATTTAGATTAGCTTACATTCTTGTATAAAATAATGTAAAATGAATGGCAGTTATTAAGCAGACACCTCATACACCATGGGGACCTGGTGTATTCTTGTTTCTTTCCTTTCTACTTTTTCCTTCTTGCCTTCGCTCTCTATGGGGTCTATAACAGTTTTTGATTATTTAGGAAAGTGGTCTATATATCTGATCTAGCCTAAGCAGTTTTCATACTTTGTTTCCTTTTCAGAATCTATACTTTAATCCTAGATTTGGAATGTTCTTTTTCATATTCACAGATTTCCTAAACTTCTGCTTTTTCCACAGTATTTTCTTCACTCCATGGGAGGAAAATGACTCTCTTATCATCACTATCCGTGTATAACAAGGAGTTTATTTTGTGATTATAGTGTTAGCAGACTTCTCCCCCCTTCACTTTTGTATAAGCTGTTTGTTCTTTTTAAATTGGCCAATGTGTAGGTGAGATAGAACAATTTCAAAGAGATTGGGGACAGAATTTGTTTTTTCTTCAATAATGCATTTAATAGCTGTGCATGCTTAATAGATACATCACTTAATGATCATTCATTCATTCATCAAGCATCTGTGTCTGAGGTCTCTATCTAGTCTGCCTGCCTCTCTCCACATTACAGAATTGTCTGATTTGTTTTATTTACAATGTCAAACTGTTTTAGCTATACTTACCAAGAGGAATATAAAAAAGAATGTCTTTCTGGAAGTGGAAGTCTCTTGTTGGGCTTTGGTATCAAGGTTTATGATCCTCACAGTGAAGTTGGGACAGCTTTGTCTTTTTTTCTTGTCATCTTTGTTTCAGATGACATTGTTATTAATTTTTTAAAAATATTTGTGGAACTTGCCAGTGAAGCCATTTGGGCCTGGAGAGTTTTTTTATAGGAAGGTTTTTAATTATACATTTATTTATAAAAATTGTAATAATCTATTTTTTTTATTCTTATATTAATTTTGGAGAGTTACATTTTTCTAGGAATTATTCATTTTACCTAAATTTTCAAATTTGTGAAATAAAGTACAAAATAAAATCTTATATAATTTTTAATTATAAATTATTCCCCCCAGATTTTAGTTATAGACTATTGAAAAGATAATGCAAACCAGCATTCTTTCAATAAATTCCTTTCCCCCTTAAGTTAGTCAAAGTTGGATTCTCCTGCTTTAAAGCAAAACACCCTAATACAGGTATCATGCAGAAAATGGAGAGACGCTTACATTTATTTGCAGCCAATTCCTTTTCAACAATTTCTACAAAAAATGTACTCCTTCTCTTCCTAAGGTTACATACCTATTGCCTGATTCAAGAGGTCTGAGCTAGAGGCCCTCCTATTCTTTTCAACACAACAGGAATCGGTATGAACCAATATGCTCCCAGCAATGAAAAGTGAAAAAGTGTTGATAGAACTCACAGAATGTTTCCACAGAAATAGAATACAAATTACCTAGCTTTGGAGGAGTTACTCCAAACATGTCCCAGAGAGAGGAGAGAGAGAATGAGAGAGGAAGGAAATGAGGGAGGAATGTTGCTTCTTTGAACTATTTGAAATTCAGAATCTCATTCTAGCTTTGAAATTTTTTATGCAGTATTTGGTGGCAGAGTAGCATTAAGTTATATTTTTTTAATGATTTTTGCATATATTTTTAGAAGATGAGGTTTATTTGCATTTTGTAGTTATTAATCCATTTTCCTAAAAGCTATGTAGAAAAGAAAATGTCCATGCGTGGTTTTGGCTCCCTCTGCTGGCAATTCATATGTGATTTAGGTGTTACATACAAGGAAGGCAAGACACCACTATTGGAATAGATTGTTTTTATTCCCTCC